TTATACTCAAGTATGTGTTCGAACTGACTCGTCTTCCCAGCCTGCTCCTCATAATTTTAGTTTTTCTGGCTTACCCTCATTGCATAGATATGTTCTTTTTGCTGTTCCGACATTAAGTATTAAGCTACATTGAGTTATTTTGGCAGTATTGTGATTTGTGACAGCAATCAACCAACGTTTTTAATATTACGTTCAATGGACATTATATAGGTGATTCGGTTTCTTTGAAACGATTGAACATATTTTGCGGGCTCCAGCGTGCGGTTTATGTTAATTTAAGAAATATAATTCATTCTAATGATTAATGATTATTTCTCACCTTATAGCGATGCGTAGAGCAGAGATATTTCAGCAATCTGAAATAGTTCGAACGATATGCTGCTTGTTGTTCCTCTGTCGCATAGTTAGAAAGTTGTCGAGATTGGTTTCAGTGTATGAAATGCTGTTGTGCCTAACCAATCGGCGACGCGATCAATCTTCGCGGCAGTGACGCACGCATTTCATGTTTGTTTGTTCAGCCTCAAAGCACCGCGGTTGCATGAGGTATGATAACTTGACTTATGATATATTGAATGTATGCAGCGCGGGCAAACATATTAAATATCATGACTCGACTCCAAAATATCATTTTCCAGCGCTAATCTCCTGGTCTATAGGTCAATTTATTCTGATATTCTAAGGAGACGATGTTTTTTCCCCGACTTAATTGCAAATCCGAGTAAATATTTAGCATTTAAACGACCAATTAGGAGATGTTTGACGCACATAATAGACAAGCATTTTAAAATATCAAATTATCACCTGATGCGACAGCATTCCATCGCGGCTAGTTTGGGCGTTTACCAAATTATAAACGACGCACTTTTCGCGGTAGTGTTTTAATTACAGTATCTTGTGCATGCGTGCGCGCGTTTGCGTGTGTTCAATATAATTGCAAATAATGGGCGTAATACGCACATGCATATAGGAGACATATTATATATAGCGACAGATCGATGTAACGAAAAAAGAAGGAACAATGAAACCTTAATTTTTTTCTGAAAATTTTATTTACAACATATTCTGAGCTATAGTAGTGACGAAGCTTAATTGCTCGTTATTTATGACAGAGACTATTCATAGTTTGGTTCCTAAATCGTATAGAAGCAACCACTTTTCGAGAGAAATTGAGAAATTTAAAAACGACTATAAAGGCCCATGCATTTACACTCGGTGCGATTCTCGTCTTTTGATGAATGTGAACGAGTAATTAGTTACAAATGAGCTGATGTGCAAGAGCTTCTATTTCAGTATCTGTAACTAATGCACTCGTTCACATCTATCAAAAGAAGAAAATCGCACACAAAATCGCAGCAAAAATCGCAAATGTAAACTGGCTTTAAAGCAGATCGATTAATCACATGTAGCTATAAACATTCGTTAAACACAAAAGCTCAAATAAAAGACGCAAAACGATCTCCACTGAAAAGTTGATGCATTAATGAGCACTCCGGTATGCATGGACGATCTTCATCGAGTTAAGTACTTATATAGTTGGTGCCGCATAAATTGATGACGAATTTATACCATCCAATATGCACGTTAAAGTATATTCGCTATAAATCTGTATGTATGCATGGGATGATGTGCACACTCGTATTTAAACTCGAATCCTTATTTAGAAGCATGCATGTATAGGTATATGTGCATGGGAACTATAATCCTCCTATTATTATTGAGCTGGCTTGGTGTCATTTCAAAAGTGCATCCGTTATTTGCAAATGGCATATCATATAATAAACATAACAATTCCGTTTTATCAGCGGCAGTGAGTTTTTTACTTGTGATTGAAGTTATATATTATTTTCTGCTAGATTGAATCTCTTTCGCAGAAGAGTTTTCGATCCTCATTGCATGTTTGATAATCATGCATTATATGTGAAACTATAGTTTAAGAAGATCTAACAATATAATCTAACAATATGATAAATAGGCGCGCCATGTCCCGCCTATAGGAAAATCAGCCTTTATAAAGAACGTGCATGCATGGCTGATATAGAATCAAAAAGACAACGGAAGGTTTAAACTTCCTTGAGAAAAAAGCCGGTCAAGCTATAGAGGTCAGATAGAAATCTAACCGAACGTTCTTCATCATTCTTAATGCAAATCTTAGACATGCATTCAACACTCTTAAGGAAGGTCACCAAGTGTGGTACCCATTTAGGCTAAATCCAGGAAATCCGCTCAGGAATTATTGCATAGGATTAAGTTGTATATAATATAGTGCGTGGAATGTTTCCGAATTAAAGGAAACACTTTGAAGATATTACGAATGGCTTTTTACTGTATGATTATATATGAACGCGATGTCTATAAAAAATGGAATTTCTTAACAAGTCCACTTTGCTCACTATATACAGGAAAGTCAAATTACTCAGTCATAATTATTGTAAGTCGCGGGAGCATATATATCACTGTCGAATTATCACGCATATACACTCAGTCGTTAAATATACACTAAAAAATATACATATAAGAACGACAATCAGAATGAAGCGTTATATATATGGCCATGGAAAACAATCAAATGCGACTGAAAAGTTCTATAGGAAACGAGTTAATTGTTAATTTCTTTTGGAATGTATATATCATATATACGGATATGTATAATATTAAAAGAAAATGAAATTTTGTGGGACTTATCTCTAGCTTTATCTTTTGCGTTTGACGCGATCGATATGGGATGTCTATAACTGAATAGGCCTTGACTTCATGGGGTTAAGGAGTTTCACGAGGCAGGAAACAAAATTTTTCGCCAAATATTTTTTTCTGAAACACAAACGCCTATATAGTATATATGCATGTCCCATGCATTGAACGTGGACGATGTCTAAAACTCCCATGCATAGGTCTTTATATTTATTCATTTCTTTTCAATGAACCATTTCGTTGCATAAAGTCCCTATTACGTTAGAGAGTGGTCGTCTATAAGAATCATGAAATCACATGCAATCACGAACACATGCATTAAGATTTAGAACATTAATGCACCGGTGAACCAGTTCATGAAATTTGTAGTGTAAGTTAGGAATGTAAGCTAGGAATCTTATGCATATCTAGTCTATTCATATCTTCAGTTAGCCTGTTCATATCTTAATCTATTCATCAGTCTGTTCATATCTATATATCTATGTATTAGCCATGCATGTAATTTTATTCAGCTATATATGGGCGAGCTGCGTGTCGCGTTTTTTTACTTTTAGTATATACATCGGATCTAAGTAAGAATTAAAAGTCATTTTTTTAAAATATTTTCAATATCATGATGAAAATAATCAGTGATTTAAGGGACTAAAATCGTGGTTCAATTTAGCCAGCACTCTTAATAGGCCATGCATTGCCTAATGCATTAGCTTAATCAGCTATAGGTTTTGTAAAATTTTAGCTAACTTCTATATGCTATGTCAATTGCCAAATTACAGCTAGGGCGCATTGCATGTAAAACTATGCAAAAAAAATGTAAATCAAACACGTTCATATATGTGTATTATGATGCCTGCATGGTACGATTTTATCTCGCTATGTAAATTTCGAGTTATTATAATATCCTTGTCTTTAGAAATTCATTGTTTTTATACAGTCAATGAACACCGTAATAATATATTCTCCCCTATTTAATTTCATACTAACTCTCCTGACGAAGGCCCTCAGGTCGAAACGTCGAGAAGTGTTTTGTCTATTTTAGGCACTTGTTATTCCACATTTGATGCTAAGCCGAAATAATATAGCATAGCGGAACAAATTTTTTGGCTGGCTACGCCATTGCCTCCATGCATATAGATTCCAGATCATTTATAGACCTTGAAAACACGCGTATATTGTATATTTTGATTTTTTTCGCAACCCATATAGGCATGATCTTTTATGATTGGTTAATTTTTATAGGATATATCTTCACTAACAAAAACAACTACATATATTAAACTTTCTACTGCGGTGCCAAAATCAGTAATTTCATCGCACATATCTTTCATCTAATCGAGAGAAAACTAAATCAGGTCATATATCCTAGCAGAAAGTTCCTGTTGACCTTTTTAAGCCTATAAACTTTTTTAAGCTTGCTGTATTCACGGGCGCCGTTATATTTATTTACTGTTTTTCTGCAGAGTGCGAAAATAACAGCGTTTTGGAATTTCGCGGGCTTGTACCTCGTGCTATCCCGATGTGCGCGGTCTAAAATATGTATGATTTCACATAGAATTTGGTAATATTTTTTTAATACTGAGGAGGGGAAAGGCCATAGCCGGATTATGGTTGGACGATTATGATTTAATACTTGGATGTCGAGACTCGAGACGGAAAACAGTCATGGAATGATCTGGCCTTGTGCCGCTTCTGTCCTCTTCATTGGCCGTTTGTCAAATGTATATTGAACATTAAACCATATATGCATGTCTGTAAGAAGAATCATATAGAATAGCTATAGAGTAATAACGGATCTCTGCAATAGTGTTGATAAATGATAGCTATATACACTATATATGGAACGAAAATCTGGTATGGCAAATACACTCGTCGAAGATGAAACAAAAAACAAGCGATTAGCGAGCCTGGAACTGCATGAGATTATAAGTTTTAATCAACCATTTAAAAGCTGATTATAAGGACATCAAAAGGGAAAGTTCCTGTTTTTGAAATTCGAACGTCAGAACTTTTAAGAGCTGTTCAATACTGAGAGTTAGCACTATTTTCCGCTCACGACAACCAAGCTGATATATGGTATACATCGCGGACATAATCCTGCATGGCGTATATATCACATGCATACAGCTCGCTCTTTCGGTTGTATAACAACGTGACGTATATGCTTAGCCGTGCAGGCATTGATGGAGATAAATGCTATAGTCTAGGCTGCATATATGTATGTAACCTATAATATTCACGTCCAGCAATTTAACCAAAAGGGTAAAGGTGTATTATATTTAAAAAAATTGAGATAAACGAATTAAACGTGTATATACCTTGAAAGCGATAAGGTGAACGAAAAAAATCTTCTTGTGCCTCAGTGGTCTCCTGAATGATGAATCTCTTTCGACCAAACTGAAATCTGTCATACGTTTAAATCATTAATATAGGCGTCGATTCATTGCAGCTGTTTTGAAGTTTTCATGAATATATTCAGCGCTATATTATTATACGAAATACATATATATATAAGCCTCAGTGTTCTTGTCCAAAAGGAAACAATATAAGTGATTGCCGCGATTACCATGGATGCAAAATTGTGGAAGTTATTGTTAATTGAAACGTGCAGGCTTCCATAATTAGTACGCCGATCTGTCCCCGATTCATCATCGGTTATCACTTATAAGGAAATCAGTACACACACATGCAAAAGATTTTACTCATCAGTAACTCAAACTGTTCCTATGTGATTGTGAATTGCTGGTAGTTCTATATTTTTGTTTACATATAAATCGAAAACAATACGAGTACAAGCCTAATAAAAATCATTGAACAAAATTCATTAGCCAAACTGAAGATGAAAATAAAAAATGCACTACTTACAACGCGAGAAGATGATATTGAGACTTGAGTGGATATGTAGCTATATTATTTATATATATATATGTCCTTGGAAATTGCATGTGTATGTCGTACGAAACTAATTATTGTGATCCGACCTCCACCGTTTCGGCTATAAAGGAGAATAAATATCAAACTTGCTCTTAATTACGTGCTGGCTGTATTGACCTCGAAATTCCCAAAGTTGGTTTTTCGTGTAGGGAACCTGTATGACTAAAAAAATCGCGACGTCTTAAATTACGACGAAATACGTGGAATAAGGCCATACTAACGTACGAAAAGCGTTGAAAATCAGCCTTAAATGTGTATTCTGCATTCAAAAATCATATTCTCTCCGAAAGGTCAAATGAAATCTTATCTTGCGGCGACGTAAAATCACGGTTTTGCGTAAGTGAATAACACGTGTCTCTATAAAATTAATTACCGCCCAGTAAGAAACTAAATGGGCGCAAAATGTCACAAAAACAGAACGGAATATAAACATCAACGTCAACATTAGTTTTTGTAGCCAGGATATTACGCGCCCTGTATAGATTAATCTTTAATAAGCCACGCTCAAAAGAGGATCAAAACGAACAACTGCAAATAATTATTTTCTTTTGGAAACAACAGTTGCTTTAAAATGACAGATTAAAATGATCCTATAATTTTACATATATAGGCGCGCGATAATTGAGCGCACTCCTTGCAGTTTAGAGATAATACGATATACGATATATAGGTTGTGCAGTGAGCACTTTAAGAAAGCGCGTTGATTGTTCTGTATGATATCATGGATTATCATGGATTTGTCAGCCGGAATGGTTAATGAAAAACACTTATCAACAATGTTGCGCGGTGAGCTCCAGTTTAAATATCCGGCTGATAAATGAACCTCGGCTACCGCGCGTGGAAACTAGCTTGAGCGCCTGAAAAAGAAAATATGAACTTGGTCGAACTATGAACTGAAGGTCGCTAAGATGTATTAGGAGATAAAAGCGCTACCATACAGCAAAACTAAATTAATACTATATTAAACCTTAGCTAAGTATACCGCGCGAATGTAAAGAAAAAAATTAACGATTCTTAAATGACTCTGAAATTGTGAATTTGGTTACCTAATTTAACGTGTTGAAAAATGTTCTTCTCTATCGTATTAAAGGAAAAAAACTTGTGGTTTAAAAAATTATGATCATTTCGCCGCGAGGGACTGGGGGGTATCATAATGAGGTACTTCAGAATTGGCTTGCGCACAAAATGATGGTAAAAATATAGGGAATATTATATGTGTTGAAGAGCGCAGAGAACTACTGTTTATTATATGAACAAATTTATTTATATAACCAAATGACAATTCTTATATATAGTAACTCAGAAACAACTATGTATTGAAGGGCACACATTTAAAATAACAATGTTCAGTAAAATGCCCTTATAGTTAGAGTCCCTTGAACGTGTATATAAATATGGTATGAAATAAAAAACGAACTGAAACCACATGTGAGCTAGATAAAGATTTTTTGATTGGTCAAACATATTTTCTACGCGGTTTTTGATTGGCTTGCGAAAATGATATTTTTACACGTAAAAATATCGTATTTTTACGTGTATTTAACTATACGATTTTTCTCAGTGGCGTAAAACTATTTATGCATGTTCATATAATAAATTAATTGTCTTCATCCATCCAAGAACTATCAAAATGACATTTAAACGAAGCCATATGTCCTTGAAATGAAACAAAAGCGAGAAGCTCCTTTCTTCTCGACATTAATTATACAATTCCAGTTGTGTGAATGTTTTTTATCATTAATCTCAATTTGCATTTGACATTTATACATGTGAAATATCTATATTACTATATGTGACTGATTTCAAGCCTTTTTCGATAAAACATGCAGAATGCAAATTTTCCAAGCAAATTAACAAATTTGCATCTTTCGATCGGCAATCTTTTGATGCGCAATATATTTTTTGGTGGTTTCATTCATTTAGCTTTAAATAAACCACAACAGTTACTACTCCGGCGTATTTACAGTGAAAGTTTAGTTCAGTTACGCCTGTTCTATAAAAATGGCCACTTTTTTGATGCACAATATATATGAAGCGCATGTTATCAATAAAACATTTGCAAATATATCCGAAATGAATATATATATAGGACAGGTCTTATCAGAGCATAACAAAGAAGTCAGTATATTTGTCAAGGTTATTCTGCATAATGAATATAGATGGGAAATGTTTGTTAATTGATCGAAATTAATTGAAATTTGTAATCTTCGTAACGTTCAAAGGAAATGAATTCTTCGTTTAGCCAGTCGAGACTTCTTCCCTTTAAATTCGTCCAGTATAAATAACCCGAATTTCACTCGCGAGTTTCACTATGATATTCGTATACTATTTGGCATTTTTTATTGGCTATGCTGACCGAACATAAAAATCGTTGTCATCAGGCGATGCACCTGCATTCATGTCACCGAAACATAAACTGTATCGTATTACGCATGACAAGTTATAATGCAGACCAAATTAATATCCGTTTCATTTTCAAAAAAGAGCTATATAGCTAGCAACAATCTTGGTCCAAACGCTGGCGGCATATTTGTAAACGTTAGTTCACTTTTATGTTGAATAGTTGTATTTAAACAATTGAGCGAAGACCCAAAATTGGTTTGTCCATGGGTGGCGGGGGAATATAAGATACAGTGTAAACGTTTAATATCTAAAGAGATCAAATGTGCCGAATATATTAGAGTGCACGTATAGTCAATAGTTTCGGCGAGGATTGCAGCTAGCTTTGAAGAATGAAAACAAATGGCAAATACATGCATTTTTCAATTGTTGATATTATATTAGGAACTATTACTTTTCGTCTAAATGGTTGAAAAAAATTAGAAAATCCATATGCCTATTCGACACTTCGCTAGCTCAAAGGTCTTCATTTCGCCTTAGGCACGGGCTTTGTTATTAAGGTATTCTTAATATATTCTTGAAGTGGTTTTTAATCCCGCCCCGTGACGCCATTTTGACTGGATATTACCTATATCACTGCCTCGCCATGTAGGAAAGACTGTTAAGTGTGTATCGATATCTGCTGATGCTGTGCGTGCAGGGAAATAAAAAAATTAGTTGTAAAATCTTTATTCATTTTCGTAGTCAGCTTTCGGATGCTGTGTGTATATTGACTCGGCTATATAGAATGCGGGCAATTCAAGTCGAAACTGCCAAGCACTGGAAATGCTGCTATATCAATATATTTATACTTGGCATTGTTGGCATATATATTATTATTTTGAATATGAATAAAGTATATTTTCATCTTTACCTTCGATCACTTCGGTCACGGACCGCATCAATTATTCTCTGTGACGTCTTCGCCTCGTTTCTATGTTACCCACCTGGTTCCCAGGGTACCAGTGTTGGCAGAGCGAATTAGAAACGTGATTGTATACACCTATTCTAATTAGTCAGAGGGGGTTGGGAATTAGGATTAAGAGTTAGGGTTAAGAAACTGTAATATGAATTGATATATCTTGAAAACAGAAAGTGCCTGTTTCACTATACTGATCGATCGTCTTAGTCTTTTTTCATACCAATCTCTGACTATAATGCTTGTAATCACCGTAGTCGAGGTATCTTTCACACCTATATGGGTAGCTGTTGTTGGCTTTTCGTTTCCATGCAAGAGAACGCGGCGACGCATGACCCGGAAAATATGGGTGACTGTTTTCACACCTTGTGTCTTGTAAAGATACAGTGATATGTTTATTCAATACGCCTTCTCTCACACAATCCTAATACATCACGGATAATCCAATTAGGGCAAAGACACGAAAAGACTACAAAGAACGCTTGATTGTATTCCTTAAATTTCGAGAGAGTTTGACATGTCACAAAAATAACAGTAAATTTACATTTCGATAAGTGCAGAAATTTCTGAAATCGTTTGCCGGATGCTTCAACTTGGTCACATTGACGTCATTTCTTTTTTTTCGGTCAAGGGCAAAAATGCCAGCTATCAAGAAACCTAAAATGTTTTGCCTTTATATACTGTGAAAACGATAATATCGACATGATCTAAAACATGAGTCAAGCAGTCAAGGTCTAGCTGGTAAGACGGGAAGCAACTTGATCTTTTCATTCGCTTTTTCAAATACTCTCCGTGCAGGTTTAGCATAGTAACATTAAGCTGAATGCATGCTATTAGACTTGAAATTATGAAATAGATCAAAGTAAAACAGCCCAGCAATTTTAGTTCACCATCTTGAAGAGATACAAAAAACGCCCCGTTAATGGCCTGTTATAGACTGGATCCGATTATAAACGTTATCGAAAACCTCCGTTATCACCTGTCCACACGTAAACACCTAAACGGCGTTTTCGAAAATCTCCACTCTGGAGAGCGTTTTTAAAAAACTCCGTTCTCGGTTGCCAAAAACGCCGGTTACGTGTGGACGCCAGGCCAAAACGGTTAAAAAAAACATTTTTAAAATTAACCGGGTACGTGTGGACGGGGCCTTAAACAGTGCATGCGGACTGTATCGTTGAATTGGTGCGCGATAGTCTATATCATCTTAATAAAGCTGCCATCGAAAAGCAAATCGAGGTAATCAGGCTAGTGATTTATACAGTTTAAAAAACTTTAACAGGAAATAACTTGATTGTGCCAGGTATTTAACAATTTTCCGCTAATACAACAGTATTTTTTTAATTATACCTTCATCTTCTATTTGATATATATATATATATAATTATATATATATATATATATATATATATATATATATATATATATTCATATATTATATTCATATATATTCATCCAAGAAGAGCAAATAAACCGTTCTTTTGATGCTGTTCGCGATTAGGTTTAGATTTAATTGTGTTCAGAATATGTTTAATACATGTAGATTCTGGTCCTATTTTAATAATATCGCTGCTATTTCGCCGTTTAACAAGATGATGTGGTCGTGTATATATGGGCGCGTTGACACGTCGCTGTTTGCACAGGATTGAAGATTTAATATAGTAACTATATAAGCGCGAATTCCAAAGGCAAAGTGTAAGACAAAGTGAATTAACGTATCATGCGGTTTTTTGAACTTCTAGTTTTCAAGTACGATGTGCTTCTGAATTTCGCGATCGAACAACATGTAGGTTAATTCGCAAGGCATCTAAATGAGTATGAACTGTATTGTTCAGGGACCGCGGGGCCGTTTTTGGATTGGGGGGGGGGGGCTAGCGAAGCCGAAAGAGTGAACCCTCGGGGGGGGGGGGTTATACTTATCTATTTATATTTTCCTTGTAAACACTTCAATGAAAAACATTGTTCACCGACACGGATAGTGAACACATAATTATGATTACACAACTTACTATAAGGAGTTTTTATTCGTATTATTATGGCCATATAAAAATCGCTATAAAAGAATCACATGTATTTAGAAAATTATTGGGGGGCTAAAGCCTCCCAGTCCTCCCCCCCCCCCACTCCGCGGTCCCTGTTGTTTATGTTCCGAAGCTTTATATTGAAGACTGGTACCTGCACGGCACGCCGAAGTTGACGCCATATATATTTATATTTATCAGGGAATGGTTAACATTACTTATGTCTTATATTTATCAGGGAATGGTTAACATTTAGATATATCCACTATGTCTATAAAATGAAGTTATTATATTTATAATTTTTAAAAATATACGTTTGCATGATCATTTGTTTAATTCTATTTCGAACGTTTTAATTTCGAAACAAATGATAGAACGCATTGTCATTCCTACAACGGGAAGTAGGAAGCGTTGTTTAATTAATGTCATGCATCCCTATTATAATAGTATTAAAACCAATATCAGTACCCCGCCCATTACTTTTGAATTGGATATTGCGTTGTAGCTACGAAGATTAAAATTGGCGTCGTGAGATTGGCATACAGCAAGAATAAAAGTCAGCATATTGTTCGCAAATTAAAGTATGTATATATGTGCATTTACTTTTAACGTGGAGGTACACTCAGGCCTCAGCATTGTATTACAGACGCTTAGAAACACCAGCCATCGATCACGTCGAAACGAACTTGCTCGAACAGGGTCAATTGACTCGGATTATTACTTATAATAATCGGTTATAATATATATAATTAAGTTTGCACGCCATGTTATTATAATCGTTATATGCTTTTGAAGGTGGCAAACACACTGTCACACTTTGTTAAATTGTGTAATTTCATATTCAGTCGATTATATATTATGTCGAATAAAGCAGCACACACGATGTGGCACGTTGAAACTAACTATCATTTACGAAATCGGCAATTATGAGGCCATTGTTTATTTCATATTCGAGTCAAACTGAAAACAAATTAGACTTAATTCGTATAATAATGTTACCGCGTTCTATATCTTGTGGTTTACATACTTACAGTTTATTATAAATTCCATACAATGTAAACATTAGTATTCACTGAATTCATTATACCTGTATATATTTATAGATCATGCAGTATTATACATATATATACTGCATGATACATGCACCTACAAATTTTGATCTTTCGGCAACATTTTTCAAAGATTTCAGGGAAATTTCCATCGTATATATATATACGATGGAAATTTCCCTGAAATCTTTGAAAAATGTTGCCGAAAGATTAAGATTTGTAGGTGCATGTATCATGCAGTATATATCTATGTATAAGGAGGGGGAATATCTATGTATAAGGGGGATTTTGGCACGTTGTCGCATTTTCTTAGAATAGTTCTTTCGTTACTAATCGGAGAGAAATATAAAGCATTTCATTTCTGCTTCAGCGCTTGGATTTTACGTTTTCGTGCATGGTTTCCGAGGGCCTTTATGCAAGTATATATTTATCTGCCAAAAAGTTTAGGAATGTATGCATGTGATGAGTATATATCTCTGTGACATCGCCATGGAGGGTATAATGATAGTCCATGCAAGTATTGCTGTAGAGAGTATGCAGGTGTTAGTTGATTGACAGAACGCCGGGTATAGAATTCGACTGATGTACACACATAAGATATTTGTATAAAACCCATTTGACTGCAGTTGACGGTTTATGGATACATTGTGAGCAACGTGATGAAAAGAATTTGCGAAAATCTTCTGTGAATCTTTATGAGTCTTCTTGTTTCCTGCTGCATGCATGCAGTGTTGGTATATTAGGTAACTTTTACTATTTTAAATTTATCAATTCGTCGGTTAATTTTAAAGTTACAAGGACATGCATGTAGACATGCACGGTCTCCAAGCGTTGTGAAAAAAACATCTCATGATATCTAGTTCGGATGCAAAGGCCAAAGCTTTTCCGCCTTTTCCTATTTTAAGGAAAATTATATATAGCACGAATCACCGGCAGCATTTCAACTTTCAATGGCTTACTAAAAAAAATAGGCCGGCAGATATGATGTCAAATTTTCCATGATCACCACGAAATATAATGTGACACGTAGCAGCAATATTACCGCGCGCAGGTGTTTTGCTTAGATGTGTGCCGGCAAGCCATGCAAGACTCCATGCTATTCCTCTTTAAAGCCGTATTTTGACATGCAATTTGAAAATATTTAAATTGTCTAAAATGGAATGTATACTTATACCGAATATTTCAAAGTTTTGGTCCGTATTTCTGGAAATTTAAAGAGGTTCAATATCTATTCATTCTCTCGCAATTTTAATTGCATCGTGCAAGTTTCACTCCACTTAAAGTTGCCATAGAGACTAACGCCTTCATTTCTCTTCCATATATAGGTGCGACCATGAGCATAGCTCTGAACTTCTCATCTCCTAGTTTTCAAGTCACAGAATCGAGCCACGTTTCAACAGAAACTGATAAAACACTCAGAATATGTGTTACAGCCATCTTAGGTGTCATCATGGTACTAACGATCCTGGGCAACGGACTTGTCTGTCTGGTTTCCTGTCGACAACCGCAGTTGCAAAGGGTTCCCTATTATCCTATTATCAGCCTGGCGCTGGCTGATATTTTGTGCGGTATCTGCGCAATGCCCGCTTATATTGCAAAGAAGCACTTTGCCGGCGGTGTCGGGGAGCGTATAACATGTGACGGGTTTCGTTTTACTTACTTCTTTTCTGTGTATGCGTCGATATTGAGTCTAACCGCAGTCAGTGTCGAGAGATTATTGGCGATCAAAGCGCCTGTCTGGCACCGAATGTTCCTAACTAGTCGCAAGATGATTGTAGTTTTAATGTTTTTCTGGCTCGAAGCTGCGCTGGTGTCCATGTTGCCATTCTTTTGGCGCGAAGAAGAGACTGAAGAGTCATGCACATACCGACCTTCCAGAGAGTGGAGCATATTGGTTATTCTGTTGAACGTATGCTTTCCATTTGTCATTACCTTTACCTGCCATTTCTACACGGTTAAGTTTGCTATTCGGTTTTCACGCCAGAAATATAAAGCAAAAATTTCAAGTAGGGAAGATACAAGCGAGAAAAATTCGACGGAGTATAAACACGCCATCTTGCTGGAAAGACGGGAACGAGATATTACATGCACAATGGCGAAAGTTTTGGGAGCTTTTATTTTGTGTTGGGCACCTTCGACTTTCTACTACTTTGTACAAATGATTTGTCCCCAGTGTTACGGGCGATCGTTTGATCAAATTCGACCAGTTTTTAATGCAGTTGTAAAGTTACTAACATTCGTCAACTCCTGTTTAAACCCGTTTATCTATTGTTGGTCGAATCTTCATTTCAGACAAGCTTTTTTTTCACTAAAGATACTTGGAGCAAGGAATAAAACATCAACTGTAGAGATGATTGGATTGAATGGCCAAGGGGCAGTTTCCCGTTAGATTTGTCCTAGATTTAAATTCTAATCTAATATTTCGGTTTTGAAATGATGAAATGGTTAAGATGAAGAAATAAATTATATTTACTGTTGCATGTGTGCAAGCATTCACTTAGCGACTGGAATGATTATTTATTAAGTCTTTAAGAGCAGATAGTGGTTGATGAAGAAAAATTTGCTTGATTAATTTCTTCTCAAAACCTATAGCATTAGCCTAACATTTCTCGTGAAGGCTTTTCATTTATAGGAAGGGTTGGGCATTCGGTATCGTTAGCCACCAACCTTTCATCCAAAAATTCGAGCCTTTGTTTCGTCAGCCGTGAATCTTTCAGTTGCACGCACTCTTAAAATTTTGACCAATAAATTTTGAAAATTTCAAAATTGTGTTAAAGTGCTGATTGATAGAACATATCTCTTTGTTTTTTTAGCGTATCAGCTTTGTTTTAGGAACAATTCGGCCAGGGGTAGCTACCTCTTACCATTTTTGCCAAAATTGACGATTTTCAAAACTTTCTAAAAATGTGTTAAAATGCTGAAAATGGCTTGAAGTATTTACCAAAACTAATCTCTTTGGCTTTTAAGTATATTTGGTTTGTTTTAGGAACATTAAAAAATTCGTTAATTTCGGCCAAATTGATAAGGGATACCAATTATTATTCTTGCTAATTGACTGGCGGTTTTCGAAAATTTCAAAATATGTGTTTTTCAGAAGCTATTTTCAACATTTTAACACATTTTTAGAAATTGTCAAAATCATCAATTTTGGCCAAAATGGGTACCCTTATCATTTTGGCAGAAATTGACGAATTTTTCAATATTCCAAAAACAAAGGAAATATGCTCAAAAACCAAAGAGATTATTCTTAGTGAATATTTAAAGCCATTTTTAGCATTTTAACACATTGTTAGAATTTTTCGAAAATCGTCAATTTTGGTCAAAATGGTAAGGGGTAGCTACCCCTTATCATTTTGGCCAAATTGATAAATTTTGAGACTTTCTAAAAATGTGGTAAAATGCTGAATATGTCTTCAAATATTTACCAAGAATAATCTCATTGTTTTCTAAAAGTATATTTGGGTTGTTTATGGAGCATTGAAAAATTTGTTAATTTCGGCTAAAATGATAAGGGGTATTTCTTACCATTTTGGCCAATATTTATTTACAAAAGTAGTCAAGTTTGGCCAAAATGGTAAGGCCTTATCCTTTGACCGAAATTTTTCAATGTTCTAAAAATCAGCCAACTACGTTCAAAAACCAAGAAGATTAGTCTTAGTAAATATTTAGTAAAAAACGGAATTAAAATTCAAACGGAATTAAAATTCAAACCACTGGGCCACCGGAATAATATATATATTGTAAGATTGGAATCAACATATGTTCCGGTGGCCCATTTGTTAAGGCTACGGCCTAGTTACCAGGTGTAAGCGTAGGTTCGAATCCTGCATGGGAAAGGTTCGATTTTTTCCACCGAAATTTACTATTTAAGTTAAAAATTCTCCGAAAAGGATATATTCATATAAAGTACAATAGCTTTCGACAAATGATGCGGTGGTCTTGTGCTTAAGACGTTCGTCTCTCAAACCAGGCAGGTTTGACAGGGTGATTTTCTCGAGAGTGAAAATTTTTTAATTTTTTTCACTTTTTTGAAATTCTCTAGATTTTTTTTTGACGCGGAAGTATTTTGTCTTGGGCTACTGTGTCTGTCTTGGGCTACCTTAAAATTTTCGGTGTCATTTGGAAGATTTAACCAGGTTAAACATCGATAGATTACGGTGGCCGAGTGGTTAAGACAACGGACTACCACGTTGTAAGCGTAGGTTCGAGTCCGGCATGGGAAAGGTTCGATTCTTCCGACCGAAATTACTATTTAATTTAAAATTCTTCTAAAAGGATCAGGTCAAATAAAGAACAATAGCTTTCGACAAATGATGTGGTAGTCTAGTGGTTAAGGCGTTCGTCTCTCAATCCGAAGACAAACGTTTCAACTCCTGGCAATGCACGAAAATTAACCTTAAAATTTTCGGTGTGATTTGGAAGATTTAAAACAGTTAAAAGACTTCTCGGCCTTTCGGAAAGACTGTAAATTGAAAAAAGTTTGAAATAAAAAGCGTTCAAAAGTACTTGAAAATTGAAAAAAAGCCGAAGTTAAAAAAAATTAAAAACATGTGTCTTCTGAAAAGACTAAAAATTAAAAAAGTCAGAAAAGATTTAAACATTTCCCGCTTTTAAAAAACTCATGTTTACTCAACTTAATTTTTTTTTACGAAAATTTGACAGGGTGATTTTCTCGAGAGTGAAAAAATTTAATTTTTTTCACTTTTTTGAAATTCTCTTAGATTTTTTTTTTGACGCGGAAGTATTTTGTCTTGGGCTACCTGTGTCAAGCCAGACACAGGTAGCCCAAGACAGACACAGGTAGCCCAAGACAAAATACTTCCGCGTCAAAAAAAAATCTAAGAGAATTTCAAAAAAGTGAAAAAAATTAAATTTTTTCACTCTCGAGAAAATCACCCTGTCAAATTTTCGTGAAAAAAAATTAGCGTAAGTAAACATGAGTTTTTTAAAAGCGGGAAATTTTTAAATTTGTTTTGAAGTTTTTTTCTCACTTCTTTAATTTTCAGTGTTTTTAGAAGACACACGTTTTTAAATTTTTTTTACTTGTGCTCTTTTTTCAATTTTCAAGTACTTTTGAACGCAAGAATTTTTTTTCAGTTTTTTTATTTCAATTTTTTTCAATTTACAGTCTTTTGGAAAGGCCGAGGGAGTCTTTTGACTGTTTTAAATCTTCCAAATCACACCGAAAATTTTAAGGTTAATTTTCGTGCATTGCCAGAAGTTGAAACGTTTGTCTTCGGATTGAGAGACGAACGCCTTAACCACTAGACCACCACATCATTTGCCGAAAGCTATTGTTCTTTATTTGACATGATCCTTTTAGAAGAATTTTAAATCAAATAGTAATTTCGGTGGAAAGAATCGAACCTTTCCCATGCCGGACTCCAACCTACGCTTACAACGTGGTAGGCCGTGGTCTTAACCACTCGGCCACCGTAATCTATCGATATTTAACCTGGTGGCGCAGTGGTTAAGGCTACTGCCTACCAGGTTGTATGCGTAGGTTCGAATCCTGCATGGGAAAGGTTCGTTTTTTCCCACCGATATCACCATTAATTTAAAATTCTTTGAAAAGGATTGGGTCAAATAAAGAACAATAGCTTTCGACAAATGATGTGGTGGACTAGTGGTTAAGGCGTTCGTCTCTCAATCCGAAGACAAACGTTTCAACTCCTGGCAATGCACGAAAATTAACCTTAAAATTTTCGGTGTGATTTGGAAGATTTAAAACAGTTAAAAGACTTCTCGGCCTTTCGGAAAGACTGTAAATTGAAAAAAGTTTGAAATAAAAAGCGTTCAAAAGTACTTGAAAATTGAAAAAAAGCCGAAGTTAAAAAAAATTAAAAACATGTGTCTTCTGAAAAGACTAAAAATTAAAAAAGTCAGAAAAGATTTAAACATTTCCCGCTTTTAAAAAAACTCATGTTTACTCAACTTAATTTTTTTTTACGAAAATTTGACAGGGTGATTTTCTCGAGAGTGAAAAAATTTAATTTTTTTCACTTTTTGGAAATTCTCTTAGATTTTTTTTTTGACGCGGAAGTATTTTGTCTTGGGCTACCTGTGTCAAGCCAGACACAGGTAGCCCAAGACAGACACAGGTAGCCCAAGACAAAATACTTCCGCGTCAAAAAAAAATCTAAGAGAATTTCAAAAAAGTGAAAAAAATTAAATTTTTTCACTCTCGAGAAAATCACCCTGTCAAATTTTCGTGAAAAAAAATTAGCGTAAGTAAACATGAGTTTTTTAAAAGCGGGAAATTTTTAAATTTGTTTTGAAGTTTTTTCTCACTTCTTTAATTTTCAGTGTTTTTAGAAGACACACGTTTTTAAATTTTTTTTACTTGTGCTCTTTTTTCAATTTTCAAGTACTTTTGAACGCAAGAATTTTTTTTCAGTTTTTTTATTTCAATTTTTTTCAATTTACAGTCTTTTGGAAAGGCCGAGGGAGTCTTTTGACTGTTTTAAATCTTCCAAATCACACCGAAAATTTTAAGGTTAATTTTCGTGCATTGCCAGAAGTTGAAACGTTTGTCTTCGGATTGAGAGACGAACGCCTTAACCACTAGACCACCACATCATTTGCCGAAAGCTATTGTTCTTTATTTGACATGATCCTTTTAGAAGAATTTTAAATCAAATAGTAATTTCGGTGGAAAGAATCGAACCTTTCCCATGCCGGACTCGAACCTACGCTTACAACGTGGTAGGCCGTGGTCTTAACCACTCGGCCACCGTAATCTATCGATATTTAACCTGGTGGCGCAGTGGTTAAGGCTACTGCCTACCAGGTTGTATGCGTAGGTTCGAATCCTGCATGGGAAAGGTTCGTTTTTTCCCACCGATATCACCATTAATTTAAAATTCTTTGAAAAGGATTGGGTCAAATAAAGAACAATAGCTTTCGACAAATGATGTGGTGGACTAGTGGTTAAGGCGTTCGTCTCTCAATCCGAAGACAAACGTTTCAACTCCTGGCAATGCACGAAAATTAACCTTAAAATTTTCGGTGTGATTTGGAAGATTTAAAACAGTTAAAAGACTTCTCGGCCTTTCGGAAAGACTGTAAATTGAAAAAAGTTTGAAATAAAAAGCGTTCAAAAGTACTTGAAAATTGAAAAAAAGCCGAAGTTAAAAAAAATTAAAAACATGTGTCTTCTGAAAAGACTAAAAATTAAAAAAGTCAGAAAAGATTTAAACATTTCCCGCTTTTAAAAAACTCATGTTTACTCAACTTAATTTTTTTTTACGAAAATTTGACAGGGTGATTTTCTCGAGAGTGAAAAAATTTAATTTTTTTCACTTTTTTGAAATTCTCTTAGATTTTTTTTTTGACGCGGAAGTATTTTGTCTTGGGCTACCTGTGTCAAGCCAGACACAGGTAGCCCAAGACAGACACAGGTAGCCCAAGACAAAATACTTCCGCGTCAAAAAAAAATCTAAGAGAATTTCAAAAAAGTGAAAAAATTAAATTTTTTCACTCTCGAGAAAATCACCCTGTCAAATTTTCGTGAAAAAAAA